GGGCGCGGCCGGGCCAGAAGCAAGCAGGCCAGGCCCAGGCCGGCGGCCAGGCAGGGCAGCGGGAGGTCCTGCAGCAGCAGCCAGGCCAGCGCCGGCAACCGGTCGCGATGCCCGTAGGCGTCGTAGAAGAGAGGGAAGGCCCGGGTGGTCCCGGCAGAGAGCAGGAGCAGGTCCAGCAGCGCCAGGCAGGGGGCGCCGGGCGGGCAGCGCCAGGGCAAGAGGGCCAGAGCCAGCAGCGCCAGCAGGGCCACGAGGCCGAAGAGCGCGCCTACCCCGTACACATGGGCCTCCCAGGCCAAACCCCAGCGAGCCTTGGCCTCTGTCCAGTCGGCCTCCAGGGTCAGGAAGAAGAGGGGCAGTGGGGCCGCAGGAGGCCGCGCTTCGCGTTCAGGCAGTTCTCTGATACTGCAGGACCCTGGCCCACATTCTGGCTGCACCGAAAGGTTCCCAAGGCTGGCGGGAGAGGGGTCATCCGGGCCAGAGGTGGAGGTGGTGGAGTCTGTGGGCAAGGAACGTTTGTGTGAGGCATTCCGTGCAGCCCTCCCCTTGCCCACCCTACAGCCAGTAGCCTGTATGCCAATCGGAGAGTCCTCATAGCTTCCCGGAAGGACTTGTCTTAAATTTGAGACTCCGTGACCTCGCAGCCCCTCACCCTCCCCTCCCACATCAAACTCCTCGGGCTGCAGTTTCAGCCCTCGTGCCCTCCCCCCACCCCATCCACCCCCAGCTCCCTGCTTTGTTCACTACCCTGTGATTCCACTGAAAAGGGTTTTTCTTAAGAAGTCACAGAATTTTACCAGTGGAAGGAGCTGCAGAAGCCCCCTCTGGTTCAGTCCTCCCGCCAGGAAGGAGGCTGCATGAGAACAAAGATCGCTTTGCTCACGTCTGAATACCCATGCCTAAAACAGTGCCTGGCACAGAGTGGGCACTGAGCAGATATTCGTTGAAGAAATGAATCGTCCTATTTGCCAGATGAAGATATTGAGGCTCTGCCGAGAGGCCAGGTAACTTGTCCAAGGTTACAAACTGGCAGAGCTGCAACCAGAATCCAGATCTGAGCACCAGTTTGAGCCCCTCTCCTTGATTTCAGAGGCGCTTCATAATACTAGTTTGCTTATCTCTTGTTCTGCACCCCTGACTCCCAACTCCCACCTTGGTGCTAGAAGAAGCTTGCCCTGCCTTTTTTCAGCTGCTCCCCCTTCACCCTGTGTCGTCAGGAAAAGCCACCCCGCACTGCCCACCCCCCCACACACACACACAGCAGGGGGAGTGATATGACTCTCCCATCCCCAGCACCCTGAGAAAACACAACCTTCCCTATTCACTGGCCTTCCTGCCTGCTACACCTCCAACCTCAGCCTAGCCATGGCTATGGTCCCCATCCTAACTCAACTACAAAGCCATTGGTCTGAGGCTCTTAATACAATGCCCCTTTGCTTCTCACCCCCTTTTACAGAAGGTGACATTGAGATGGACTCCCCTGGGTCTCAAGACTACCCTTGAACTCTGAGGAAGGAACATTTGGGGGGATCATAGCTTAGCGAGTGAGCCTCTCAGGTGCTCTGGGGTTTGCTAACTTGGGCTCCCAGCCCCATCCTGTGCTCTAACATCTTCCCCACATCCCTTGAGGAAAGGGAAATCAAGTAAGAGAGTGTGAGGACTAAGATCCCTAATTCTACTCTCCTGGAGCTGGAGAGGGGTGAAAAAGAGTTAGACCCAAGGATTTTCCATGGTCAGGCAGCAAGGGAAGACGCTTCACGCTGAACCTCCCTCCCGCATCTAGCAGGCTTAGCAGAACCGCAGCTGCAGGCGAGGATGGAGGGAGAACGATGGTGGAGAAAGATGGGAGGAGCCATCTGGCGACGGGGAAATGCACGGGAGACAGATGTAGAATGAGGCGGGAGGATCTCCTGACAAGCAGACTCCTGCCCCAACTGCCTGGCCATACCCAGCCATGCCTCAGCAGGACAAAACAGGAAGACTCCAGGCGCACCCCCATCCCTACCCCAGGCAGTGCCGGCTTGTGCTGGGGACATGGAAAACAGAGCAATCCTAAGAGCAAGGAAAAGGAGTGAGGGGGCCAGAAAGCAGCCCTGGAGAGAGGGGAGGGGAAGGTAGAATTGGGCAACTGGGAGGGCAGAGAGGGGGCTGCCAAAAAATTACATATATACAGCTGGCTGCCTACTGCCAATGGCAGCATGTTCCTTGGTTCCTGTCCCATCATATGCCTCAAGTCTAAAACGGGGAAGAGCACCTACTGCACAGGGCTGTTATGAGGATACATGGCCAGTGTGTGCAAAGCTCTTTAGAGAGACTGGTGCATCATAAGCATTTGATATACAACTGTTGTTGGTCTGATCATTATGGGCTACTGTTTATCACCCGTCAGTCATCGGTGTGTGTCTGTGTGAGTGTGACCATTTCTGGCCTCAAACTGAGTCTCGATTTAACTAACAAAAGGCTGTCTTCCCTTAGAAAGTCAACAATTAGTCAAATGAGTGAACATCAATGCATTGTCTCTCTGTGAACCCTGTTTAAAGAACACCATTTGGATGGACTGACCATCCCCAAACACCTACTGAAGACACAGCCGTGAGTTAAATGAGGAATCATTCAGCTGGGAACTGATGGCTTGCTGATTCGGTGGGGGGACAGGGTCAGTCTAACACCAGTGGGATCAAATACACAAACATTCTCCCTCACCCCTCATTTATTGGTCCCCTCAGATACCCTTGCCCAGACCATTTCTGCAAAGTGGACGAGTCTCCTTGGCCTTTCCGGTCTTGGTGGGCTCTGCAGAGAGGCAAGGAGACCCCAGCCAGGAGCCCACAGCCTGCGCCAACCTGTCGTCCCTGATGCCTCCTCCTCGCTCACTGTACAGACAAGTGCAGCTCTCAGAGATCTGCCCCACCTCACCCTCTTCCAGCTCCACTTCCCACTCGATGGCCACAGAAGACCCCATCTTTCACCTCTGGCCCAAAGCATTATGGCAACTAGAGCAACTTGCAACATTCCTAAGAAGCCAGAAAAAGAATGAAAACCAGGAAACAGAGTACAGGCACAGCTCAAGTGTCAGAGGAGAGAGCTCTGACCTATGAGCACTGCTCCCAGGGGGCAGGGCAGGGTATGGGTGGGGACAGGTGAGGAAGGCCCAGCCTCTGCCTTTGACGGGTCCGCTTGACCTCATCCTCTGTCTCCCCATTTGAGGCTTCCACAGAAGGGGTCCTCGGTTTCCCCCAGAAGGTAGTGACTTCCTAGGATCCCTCTCCTGCACAGGCCTCCCTTACAAGGTGGTCCCACTCTGGCCCTGTGGCTCCTCTTGACCTCAGGGGCAAGAGAGGAGATGGGATGTCAATGTGAGTAACTGGTGAAGCCAGAGCTGATTGGGGGGAGTTGCGAAGAGGGCCCAGCTCAATTTATGGAAAAGTCCACTAGCTGCCCAGATCAAAGGGCTGGGGAATCACTCTCTACTCTGGATGCCTGAAGCTGCAGCCCGGATCAGTGGCCTGGCCCCATCCCTCCCCCGAGCCCCACCTCCAGGATCACAGAGGATTGGTACTCCTTGTAAGGGTGACATTTGAAATATTTCACCACTGTTTCAGGTGAATCAGAACAGCTGCCAGCCAGGTGGTCAGGGAGGGGAGTGGTGCTCAGGAGGCTAAGGAGAGTGGGTAGTTATCAACTGGTATGGAATTCTTTTACTATGTTAACGACCTGCACAACTGTTCAGCGCTTACTGGCTGAATGCAGGCTCTGTCTGAGACCTAATGCAAGAGAAGAGAAGCCCTAGGCCCAAAGGTTAACTGTACCGAGGTTAGAAAGTTCCTAGAGAAGACACAGAGAGACTCCCTTTATCCCCTAACTGCTTGCCACTACTCCCCCCAGAAGGTGCTGGCAGGAACAAGGCTCTTTGGCCTTCTCTCCAGGAGGCCTGCAGCCCTCCGGGGTTTATCCAAGAGGAACAGCCAGGAAGAGGCTGGGTTCCTGCAACCGTAGAGAGGAGGGGGAAGGAGGGCGGGGCCACCAGCCGCTGGGCTGCCTCTGATATTGTCCAGACTCATTAAACCTGCCTGGCCAGCGCTGTCACCAAGGCTGGCAGACCGCCACCCAGCATCCTTCCCCTGAGGCCACAGAGCCTGCCCCCAACTCCACAGCAGATCCTGCCACTGCTGCACACTGGGCTCGATGGGGAGGAGACAGCAGGCTCCCCACCCACACGCCCAGGAGTGCTGAGTCCGCTGGGGAGGAAGCGACAGGCAAGTGCTGCGTTAAGTCTGGAGCTGGAAGAAGCTTGGGCGGGGACCAGCGGTTTCCACTGCTGCACCAGTTCCTAGTGTGGAGTGGCTGAGAGGGTTCCCAGCCACAGTTAACCCTTTACATGTCCCCCTTGGCCTCACCTACCAGAACCTCTCCCCAAGCAGCGTGCCCTCTGCCTTTTGTGGTATGTGTTGTCCCACCACGTTTAGGGGCCACGGTTGCCGTATCTGAGAGGTAGATCTGGAATGTACTTGGGACACACCGGGGAAAGAAGCAAGGTTAACAGATACTATTTAATGAGCTAATACTTTGTGCCCATTACATTATGTGGAAGCTTTACAATAACAAAATAGGCACTATTATTAAACCCCAGATACAGGAGAAAATTTAGGCTCAGAGAAGTTAAATAGCCTGTCCAAGGTCACCAGCCAGTTAGGAAGGGGATTGGGATTCAAGTCTCAAAGCCAAGTCTCAGGATTCCAGAGCCCCTGGTCTTTCCTCTGCACCACCAGCTTGTCTATGTGCGTGTTCTGAAAGGCTCCGTTGAACAAGGATGGCATCTGTCTGCACAAGGTCTTCTCTTTAACGTCTTCCCAATGAGGGGCCCAACTCTGCCTATATCTGACAGCATGTCATGTCAGATCAGACGGCAAAGGAGAGAGCCCCAAGGTCGGAGTGGGAGGGTAGGGAGGCAGGCCAGGCAGACTGGAGTAGAGGGGTGGGGTTAGTGCTGAGGCTGTGGAAATCATGAAGGAGTTCCTGTGTCCGTTTGCCCCTGATACATTTGTCTACGTCCTGCTCTGCCTGTGACTGTAAAACTCCCAGAGGACCATTACTTAACTCTGTGTGGGACCATCCTCAGCAACATTTGTTCTCAGACCATTAATATATATCTCCATAGTGGTGATGAAGAGAATGGTGATGACAGTGAAATAAAAGGATCCCAGAATGCCAATGAGTGGCTAGCATGTAGTAAGTGCTCAATAAATGTCAAGTTTAAATGAATTGGATACTTACCTAGTGATGCTGTTGCGATCAAGGCAGAGCTTAGGGAAGCAGCTGGGTCCAGTGGCCTTGGACTTGGGAGCTTTGTCTCCTGGGGGGATGGGGGCGGGGACAGAGTGGTGCCAAAGAACCCTGCAAAGGGAAGACATAGGGCTAGACTGCCATCCTACCAGCCGGTGTTGGCCTCTGGAGCTTTGGAGAAAACCCTGTCCTTTCTCAGAGCTTGACCTATGGGAGTCACTGTCCCAGGAATTGTAGCCAGGAATTGTATACCAGATGCTAAGCTACAAGGACCAAACCAGACTTCGTATGGCAAAGAGGGCATTTCCCCATAGAGCAGTGGCTGGTATCCCAGGTCCTGGGAGAAGGAATGCGAGCTGCCCTTGAGTCAAGGGAAAAAGGAGGTGCTGGCATTTAGAGGTGTTCCATAAATGCTTGTTGCAGTGAAATAAACACTCACCTGGAGAACCCGAAATTCCAGAGGCAGAGCTTGGGGATGTAACTGGGTCCAGGGGGCTCAGGCCTGATAAGTTCCGGAGTGGGGGCACAGTAGTGCCAAAGAACCCTGCAAAAGGAGCCCAGGCTGGAGCTTCCTCCTACCTGCCAGACTGCCCAGCAGGGGCTCTCCTTGGGTTGGGGTGGGTACTCACCAAAGGGTCCCAGGCGCCCAGCAATCTCTGCCAGGCTGGCCCGCAGGCTGGGCAGCAGGGGCAGTGTTCGATGCCCAAGCGTTGGGGCTACGCCTGCTCTCAGCGCCATGTCAAACTTCAGCTCCAGCTCACTCTGGTGGAGCCTGGGAGCACTGGATGGAGGTGCTGTAGCCGTCAGAGCAGTATCCCAGGTCATGGTGCCCATCCTGGGCTGGTACGGAGCAGTGGGCCGGTCAATGGGCCCAGCGAGGAGGGATGTGGACTCCAGAGGCCAGGAGGAGGCCCAGGGAGCAGAGCCCCGCGCTGGGGGGGAGTTCCCGAGAGAGCCCACCAGTAGTTCCCAAAGGGGGCCAGTCCTCAGCCCACCGGCCACCTCTTCCTCCGGCTCCCGGCTTGGCCCAGGAGAAAGTGCCTGGGTGTCCGTGACAGAGCTCCCCCAAGCAGCAGCAGGTCCTCGAAGGTGGAATTTGAAGTTAAGCCCCAGGTTGAGAGACAGCATAGAGGCCTCACTCTGAGGCGGCGGGGCCAAAGTGGTGACATGGGCACCTGGGACAGAGGAGGCAGGCTGGGAGCCCACAGGGACAGCAAGCAGGACCCAGCAGAACAGCCCCAGCCCCAGACAGCCATACCCTGCCATGGCCCCTCCTGGCCTCAGGCGGCCTGGGTAGGCAGGGGACTCAGGTCTTCAGCACCTTTGAGCACGAAGGTCCTGGAGAGAGGAGAGGTGCTATGAGCTCTGGCTGCCTGGGATCTGATGCCCCAGAGAGACTTCTGATCCCAGAGAAGCAGGTGGTGGGGATAGGACACAAAGGCTTCCACCCAAGGAGAGTTGCCAGCTTCTTCCTGAACATTCAGGCCCCAGCACAAATCTCTTCCCTGCAGTTTCCCTTCTCTCCCAGCCAAGGTTCCTTCTCCCTAAGCCCCTGCCTCCCCCACCTGCTCAGTCTGGGGATGGGTCTGACTGCATCCAGCTGCCCTCATCCTTGACTGACAGCAGAGCGAGTGAGTGGACGTGGCTCCCAGACTCAGATCCCTTCCCTCCCTCTCTTCTCTCTTTCCTCCCTCAAATATCTGTGAGGCCTACTATGTGCTGAGCACCCTTCTGGTAATACAACTGTGAACAAGCTAGCCCTCACAGATGAGCCTCAACACATTCCCACCCCAGCTCCGGCCCCCTCTAAGATGTTTGTCCTCTCACTCAGACCCTGGGAGCACTGGTCCCTGGAGGGATGAAGCACAGGGTGAGTGATCCGGCAGAGATGGAGAAGGCAGCTCTGGCCAGGGATGCAGGGTGCCCTGGTCTGGCAGGGGCTCTGTCCCTTCAGCCTTTTCCGTCTTTCCTGCAGCTTGGCCGGCTCCCCATCCCTTAACCCTAGAAGTACTGGGGGGAGGGTCAGCTTGGCCATCTCTGGCTTCGGGGGGGAAGATGGCCAGGCAGGCAAACTGGATAAGGGGCTGCTGCAGTAGACTCCTAACTCCACGGCCCCCAGGCGCCTACATCTGGTAGGGGAAGGGGAGGGTGAGCCAGGGACGGAGGTGCACCCAGCACCCTTACATCACACACACGGGCACACCTAGCACCCATGACACACTCACCTAGTCACCCTTCACACACCCCTGCACGTAAGTGCTCACACACGCGCACACACACACACACTTGGTCCTGCCGAGCCCCCTCCCTCCTACACGAGTTCAGACCCAAGCTCTGTGAGCTCGCAGCCTGCTCTGTGTCACAGGCACACACACACACCCCTACCTCACAGACACACACAGTATATACCGACAGAGAGGCATACACACCCCTACACACACATTCGCACGCTCCTTACAGACACACAGCACACACCGTCATCCCCCGACATGCACATTCCTACACACCCTCTCTCCCGCAGGGGGGGGTCTCCTCCAACAAGTCCCCCGAGAAGGGGCGGTCGCGGCGGCCCAGGCGCCCCGCTGGGCGATGCTCCACCGACTCTGGTCCGTTCTCTCTGCGCCCGACGCCCCCTTGGCTCGTCCCGGCCACCGCGGCTTCGCCGACGCGCTGCCCCGGGTCTGGAGCGGCCCGGCCCCGGCCCGCAGCGCTGGCCCCAGGCAGGCGGCCCGGCCCGGCTCCGGCTCCGCGATCCCTCCCACTGCGCCGCCTCCTGGCTGCAAGCCTCGCTCCCCGGCAGAGCCGCGCGCCCGGCTCCGCGGCAGCCGAGCTCTGACCGCCCGCCTTCCCCGCCTCCTGCGCTCCCGCCCTTC